ATTTGAAAAATAGTTGTTAAAGTAAATAACATTTTAATATTTATTATAAAAGTTAATGTATTTAACCAATTACTATTTTATATTTCCGTTCGGTCATAAATAATTTTAAAATCTTATACATTTAGTGAAATTATTAATTTTTACACTACATCGAACTGGGATCGAAAATTTTACTATTTAAACAAGAATATTAATTTATAAAATTATCATTTATCGAGGTTTTACAGTAGATGGTTATTTTCTAATTTTAAATAGGAAAGTTTCAATTTATGGATCATTCTTCTATTGTGAATGGTTTAGTTTTTTTATTGAAATTGGCAAACTTTTAGCTCAAATGTTAGTGGGATTCGTACTCTGAAAATAACAGGACCATGTATATTCATGTTTTACTCTTCAAGGTGATTAACATAACTTATTTATTTATCGAAAACCATTTAGAATTGAATTAAATATCAGATTTCTAAAATTACCCACTTGAAACTTTAAATAATTGAGAATTTGATTGAAATCACTATACTCTTGTTACAAAGGGAAATTTAGGAAAAATTATTTCTTTTATGAGATGGAAGTTTGGCAATTAGGTTTCGGTCAAAGGGGTACCAATATTTTTAGAAACTCGACCTAGATATGATTGGGTTGGGTCCAAAGTCCACGCATGTACACCTTCGTCGACTTTCGATCGACATGGCATTTGCATGAGCCCTAGTCCACTTCGAATTTGGTGCAGGTCATTGTCTACATTTATCTTTTTAGACACAATTTATTTGAACTTTTGGACCAATTTATAATTAATTAAATCATTGAGTACTAAAGAAATTATTTTTAACGGTCTTTTACATTCCAACCATGAGTTGTTTTCGCAATATTTTTTTGGATTAACCATCGTCTATTTGTATAACTGGCGTCTTTGATCAATGACAGTAACCAACCGTAATCGACTTTAACAATTGCATGCTTTCAACAAGAATTGTACTACAAGTACAGGGGTTCTTTTACAAGAGAGGCGGGTGGTGTGTTTACAGGGAAGACACAGGATTGGGGGGTGGATTTTTATTCTTAGTTTTCAAACATGTGGGGCCCGCCAGTGTCTCTCACCTGGCTGGCCCTTGTGAATTGCCTCCTGTACTTGAGGAAATTCTCTTTCAACAAACACCTCTGTTCGTTTAAAATGTTGTCTGAATAGTCATCACTGTTTTGAAAAGGTTTGTAGACTGTTCGAATATCCATTGATAAATCTTTAAATAACATGCCTTTGCCATAAAAATTACACCATTTTTATTGCCAATATTCCTGTTTTGAATCTCACTTCTCTCTCTAAATTTTGATAATGTTATTCGAGTACAAAAATACTATATTGAGTTCGTTGGAACTCTTACTAGTTACTGTGTTATTTTCGCAAAAGACGAAATCCATTCTATCTAGGGAGATAATTATTGACTGTCTTTAAGTACCGTAGAAGGAGTAAATTTATCTTAAAGACGCATTGTGAAGTCGGTGGACTCGAATTTCTATTTTGATAAAAGAGAGAAAATTCATGTTAAGGACACATCGTGAAGTCAATGGGCTCAAATTATTTTGTTTTGATTTGCTTGTTCTAATTCTATTCGTGATTCTCTTTGATTCAATTATCATTTTTGTTTGTTAAATCTGCAAAAAGTAAGTAAGAATTTTCAGATTGTTTGAAGGAAAAAATGATACTCCAAACATAACAATCTTAAAATGAATTTTATTTTCTATTTCTACTCTTTTTCATTCTTGTTTATCTTCTTATTTTGGATCAGAAATGACAATATTCGATAATCCACTCCTTAATCTGATCGAAGAAAAACTCAAGAAATTTAATAGGTCANGAGAAATTTAATGGGTCAGATTTTAAGCGTTTGCAACAAAAAATGCTTTTTTATCTGACAACATTAAGTTTGGCAAAATTTCTCAAAGAAGATGCGCCTTCATACACCGAGGAAGATTCTGATGTTGAGAAATTGGCTGCGGTTGATGCATGGAAACATTCCGACTTTCTGTGTCGAAATTATGTACTCAACGGACTGGACTACACATTATATAATGTGTACTGCAATGCGATATCTATGAGAGAACAGAGGAAATCTTTGGATATCAAGTATAAAATTGAAAATGTAGGCATGAAGAAATTCATTTTCAGTCGATTTTTAGATTGAAAAAAAGTTGACAACAAGACTGTTATTTATTAGTCACAAATTACTAAAATGGAAAGTCACAATCACTCTTCATCTCACATCACATCACCTCACCTCACCTCAACTCTACCCTACTCTAAGTGGGAAGCAAAGTTTGTATTATGATATTTATATTTTCACAAACACCTTCTGTGCATCTTATTAATTGATTATTTGATAGGGTGCTGCATTTAAACAAAAAAAGTGTTATAGTATAT